TCCGCTAATCAATTGGTTAATATAATACACTAATTGAAATGCGCTAATTGTGCTTCCCGGACGGACGAGGGGATAGCTTGATAAGCATTTCAGAACACCTTCATGGTGCGCGTTGTTGTCTTTGTCCATTTCGTAGATACTGCATTGCACCACAGCTAGAATAGATCAGTACGGAGTAAGGGTTTACTGAAATATCGCATAGTCTAATCTGAATTAGGCAATAGTATCTATTAGCGCGGAGCGTGGAAATAAACGTGCTAAACAACCCCCAGTTTTGGGTGTCCACAGACAGGGGATGAGGCAAAGAAAACTCCGTCCCACAGTGGCACAGTTAACTGAAATCAAACATTCGCTAAAAGGGGAAGGTTACAGGTGAGACATCCATGCTGGCCACGAGTGATTCATGCACACATAACATGAGCTAATAAACAAGGAAGATAAGGAATCTTTTGGTTAGTTACTCATGTGGCATGTTCACTCTGGAGACCTACTATGAGAGTTCAAAAGAATAAACATAGGATATTTGCTCCCATCAATGATCAAGACAGAATTTTGTCATTCAGGGAGGCCATTCCTCATAATGCATGCCTTTGTTCCCGACAAGTGCGGGAGTATTATAAACGCTCGGGCCTTAAGTGTTTTCAGCTACAAACTCATATAATTCCATTACGTAAAAAGAATAAAGCGCCATCACTACCTAGCTGCTACTAGGTAGTACCTATTTCATAATACATTGAAGCTTTATCCTTTGTGGTTAGTAAAAATTACCTGGTGTTATCCTATCACTCCTCGGGGTCACCTAACTATTTGGGTTAGTCAAGGTACTTTTTTGTTTTAGTTGATAGTGTCCGCACTGCTCCATATTGTTCTAATAAAGCCGTGCCTATGATTTTGGAAGGCACAATTGCCAAGCAGAGAAATAGATTTCCCGGGACCAAGTTTTCCGGTTTCCTAAAATGATCTGAGCGTGTTGTTCGAGCTTTCAATCCCTGCAGTTCTTAGGTGTGACATTGCAGCACTAGCGTGCTCCACTGAAATCTCCTACCGGCGTGTTACTCAACCCCTCTCATGATTGGTTTTATAACAGGATTCTCTTACTCATATTATGAGGTCAGAGACTCAGAAACTGCCAGATTCAGTGGGGCACGCTTATCATGTAATCATTTCCAGGGTGAGAGTCAGTGCCTGTTTACCCCCAAACGGAAAGGATTCCCAAAATGCTCCCCGAGGCTGTCAGGGTGTTAATACCAGCGACTAAGAATATGAGGGGTGAGGGAGATTCGGGGCTTTTGGGTACACTTCATTATGGACAAACGGGAAGGACAGCCTGGAAGGGTGTTAGAAAAAGACAAGGACTCCGGGAGGTCGATAGGTAGTGCGCATAGTACAGTTATTATTATCAGGAAAAGCGGGGGATTTCAGTAAATTTACGGAGTACGTGAATGGAACCTTGGCTTGATACTATCAAGCTTCCAATAAGATGCACAGGGCATCTCAGACATGAGTGGGTTTGATAGCAACGGTTTGTTCAATTCGAGGTGTCGTAACGCAATAATGCAGGTTGCTTCCTAAGTTACCCAGGGGAACTGCGTTCGGGGGTCTACAATGCGTTAATTAATTTTTCTCGCCACCTGTACATGATCATCTAGGTACTACTTTCGTTCTAGTCCCCAATTAAGTGGATGCTCCTATTCGCCGAAGTATCCCCGAGTTCGCTTTCTGCCTCCGTGAGCTCGCGAATATATCCGCCTGAGCGGCCCGACCCGGCTCCTTCCAAGGCGTGCTTCAATCGTATCGATCGTGGGGCAAGACCCTGATCGATTGCTCGAAAATGTGGGTTATTTGGTTGCCTAGTCGAGTCATAACTCCGTGCTACCTAACTGGCGTGGCCAGAGAAGGCCAAGACAAAAAAGTCAGAAAGTTTATCCTGCCGTCATTGCTCAGGGTCATGCAACGATTGTCTGAACCCCTAGTTTCCCTCATTCCGCTTTCTCACATAATCAAAGACAAACTGTGTTTGTTACTCAAGTTGACCAGCGATCCGTAGATCCGAGCGGTGACTTGGCAGCTTATCTGACCAGTCTGCCCACCATCATATATTGCGGTCAATCCCGTTTCAGCGTTGGTTGGCTTTACGTTATTTCTTACCACTCACGTATTGGGAAACATTAGAGCAAATATACGATAAAGGTCCATAACACGTTTCTCCTTGCTCAGTTTTCGCAATGGTATCCGAGTTCTGGTGAGCATTTCTATTCGCGGCCATAATGATGACAGCGTTGGCCATGCTAATTTAATTCTTCAGTCCCGTTTACGCAGTAAGTCAAATCCGAGGGATTGTCGAAACTTTACGCTGAACCTCTAGCCATTTTTCGGATCCATAGGATGTACGACCGCCATCGTCTTAACCGCGCTTGGAGCAGCCTATGGAACTGCGAAGGCCGGTGTCGGTGTTTGCTCCATGGGTGTTCTGAGGCCTGATTTAATCGTCAAAAGTAAGCTAAATCTGGGCCTCCCTTTGCCGCGAGATAATCTTCACTGGCAGCAACAACACCCGCTAATTCTTCATGTACCTAGATATCGTCCCAATCGTTATGGCAGGTATCCTCGCCATATACGGCCTCGTTGTCTCCGTTCTCATCGCAAACAATCTCACCCAAAGGGTTACCCTATATACAAGCTTAGTGCAAATGGGCGCTGGTCTTTCTGTTGGGCTAGCAGGGTTGGCCGCTGGGTATGTGTGTTAAGCTCTGGTCTCGCGGAACGGGATCTGACTTGGTTATAGATTTGCGATCGGGATCGTTGGCGATGCCGGTGTGCGAGGAACAGCCCAACAACCTAGGTTATACGTAGGGATGATCCTTATTCTCATTTTTGCAGAGGTTCTTGGTAGGTGCTGACACATTCTGATCTGATTGAGTCGAGACTGATGTTCAGTCCAGGTCTTTATGGTTTGATTGTTGCTCTCTTGATGAATTCCAAGGCAACTATAGTGGATCATAAGTGCGTATAGGAAGTTACGTGGGGGGTATGAAGAACAATCAATTCGCGGGCCATGAGACTGTGATATTTTACTAGCTGTTCCAGGATAATCGTCCTCCCTTGGGATGTCGGAGTGCTTTAGCACAAGGTAAATGATCCTCCATTATACAGTTGTAGCTTTTAGATTACTGTATATGGCATATATTAAGTATGAAATTACTTGAGGTTTGGGGATGAAAATTACGAGATTGCAACTGTAACCACTCTGAATATGAGGTTATCTCGGAACTTCTTCACACGAAATCGGAGCCGGTTTTTATCAATAAGTCCTGTGATGAGCCACTACATCAACCAGTACGTCAAACAATGGGGTTTAAAGCAATAAAATACATCAATGTCTTCCAACAGCCAACGAGGGCAGACTACCAAAACAGACTGACACTCAATACCCATCTAAAAACATTTGAACAACTTCATCCTGCAGCAGACTTTTATGTTCCTCATCTAAATCCACTGGGTCGTTTTCTTCAAACCAAAAAGCCCAAGTACTTTGGGTATTAATATCAAGATTATTCCGGCTCGACTTCAGACCAACATGCTGCAGCTGCGGCGGCGCCAATGCATAGCGTGTGAGACCCGACTTGTCTGAATACTCTTCAATCATAGAGTCAGTTTGACCATGACCCCTCTCCTTTAAGAATCCAATAAGCCCATTGACCTGGTCTTTTGGGAACAGAATCCCCTGTGTACAGCACCCAGATTTATTCATCTCCACGACACCACGAAGCGGCATCAGCGTGTACTTCCCCATCATATAAACCAGAGCCGTGAATGCCGGGACGCAGACCAAACAAACGACAGCAATACTTGTATAATCGAGGTAGGACCGACCGAGACGAAATCGACGGAGGAGTAGAAGGCATGATAAAGCGAGGAGCATGAGGAAGGCAAATATAAACGGCATATTCCTGTAGGCAACGTCTGACGTGCTCCAACTGAACGCGGTCTCGGTGTAGAAGAGGCGGAGATATATCCAGTTGTCCTTGGGGCTTAGCTGGGACAGGGCCTCGAGTGTCTTGGTGAACCAGCCAGTGGCGAGTATAATGTCGTCTTCGAAAATAATCGTGTAGGGAGCGTTGGTTTGTTGGCAGCTTTCTAAGGCATAGGTATAATCACTAATAAAAATCGGTCGGGCAGCTGGTAAGCACTGTGCTAGTTTCAGAGGCTGAAAGGGACATACAAAACCCCCTTCTCATAGAAGTTTTCTTCCTTTTCTAACACTTGCAAATGTTTTAATTCTGTTTCCGATACATTATACTGGCCCGCTGAGTCAACAAGTCTCGTTAACCATTCTTGGCCCCAGCTGGGATGTCTCGTCGGGTCTGTGTCTGCAAAAAGGATGTTAAGATGTAGAGCACGACGTTCCTTGTCGTCCAAACCCTCCAGTAGCGAGCCGATGGACGGATCAAAGTAATTGTCTAATTTTCTCCGAATAGTCACAAAGGAAACACAGACAAGGGGATCTGACCCTCCTTTAATCGATTTTGGGGGGTCTGAAGGCGAGTTAAACTGTGAGATAAAGTGTTGGCCCTGACGCTCGCGGTAGAGACTGTAACCGAGGTCGTAAACATGGCGGTCATTGAAGAATGCAGAGTGAGGATCTCGCCAGAGTTTGAAGCGACAATACTGGAATATAAAGAGCCAGAGAAGTAGAGCACCGAGAAAAATTTTGGTTGCCCGTTGATTTGCAAGTTGTGGAAGAAGTATAGCATATTGGCCGACTAGTCTTCTCATGTTGCTTCCGTGACTCGTTTAGGGGCGTATCTGGTAATGGAAGTTAAGATTCTCTTTGTAAAGAACAGTTCTGTTCCTTTTCTAATTTTAAGAATCAAATGACCGCAAAGTCGTCAGAGAGAAGATGATTGAGGACACAAGGATAAATGTGGTAAATAAAGAAAAAGAATCGGTGCTGCTTCCATCACAAGATCAAACCAATGTTGGGACAGCCGCCTACCATCTCGTAAAACCTAAGTTCACCATTTGTGGGCCATGGTGGTACTGCGTAAAGGACTAATGCAGTGAAATGGCGCTTGATGGTAGGCTAACAATTTAGACCCAACATCGTAGACAGGCCATCCTTCGCTGACACAAATGCTAAATGTTGTACATGATAGGCGACAGAAAAGCCAATTCGTCCAGTGGATGTATAGCTGACTTAAAAGTTCTTTTTCTAAAGGTTCATTCTATCAATTTGAGGGTTTACTCAAGTGGTACTAAACGGCAAGATGACTATGGGAGTAGTAACTTGGAAATGGCCGAGTGTCTCTTGGCATCGAGGCTTAGTATCGACCACGTCCCACCACACATTGCCACGCACCCCTAAACATGGGGGAATAATAGTGGAATTATTTCAAGTTTAAGAGCCTCAATTCTATCCACTGAGTCTGTCAGAATAATGACCTCCCTTTTCTTTCATGCCTTCATTTCCTCCCGGAAACATTACACCCTATGAATAATTGTTCTTTTTTTTTTGTCTTTTCTGCCTCCCCTTAAAGCTCGTATCTGGCACAGAGCAGAGAGAGACAATGAAAGAGGCCTAGAAGCTCTAGAGGAGGCTGAACGGACCGGAGAAGGCTAACAGGAAGGGTGGCCTGGTCACACCTAGGCGTCACCCACCCTGCTAGAACGCCAAGGAGAGCAAACATGCTCAAAGGCCCTGCGCAAGAAGGCGGTATGGGGCGAGGAAAAGAAACAGAATGTATACAAAACGAGGGAATAGCCCTAGGAACTGATAGGGGACTGAGGCTAGGCCTCAGGCCAACGACACACGGTTTGTCATAGCCCTAGGGGCTCGGTATGGACAATAAACTTGATTAAATAATAATAATAATAAGCTCGTATCTGGTATACTGGCACTGGCTCTCCAAGAATAAGGATCACAGATTTTGAAGTCTTAAGGTACCTTTAGAGAGGAGATAGTCTTCGAACCATCTACATACTTTGTCATACGAGATAAGACAGACACAAGGGCCGACTCAATCACCTCTGGGCAAGTATATAGCCATGCCACTTTTCCTTGATTGATTTCGCCGATCCCAGTGAAAATAAACATGAAATATGAAGTTGCCCAGAAGCTAGACGGCCTTTTCGAGATTAATCCCATGGTCGACAAGGCCCTCGAAGCGGCTCGCTCTCTATCAGACGACGAGATTAACGTGCTCGCTAACGGCTATGAAGAGCACTATCCATTGCGGACGGACTAGCAAAAGGAAGACTTCACGGTCAGTGCCGGACAGCACTTATCTTCGGAAACAGGACAGGAGTGCATAGCCCAGGCCGGTAAAGTAGCGTTTCAGTCGGCGGTAGAGATCAACGAGCGTTTCCTTGTCATTCAGCAGAAGCTGGCGCTTATCGACCAGACCTACCACGAGGGCTTTACGGATACATTGTTATCTATTCGCTCTGTAGTTTTTTTCGACAAGCGCGGACACGAAAATGATGTTAACTTGGATACAACTACAACGGCGTACTTTAAGACAGCCGATTGCTAGCAGCTGATATCGCCCAGAAGGGCGAGAGTATACAGTATCTTTCGATACGTTTTTCGCTCCGCTAATTTGCTGATAGGTTTCGATTCCATTATTGTTTCGTTCTGTGCCGATAGCAGTATCGCGGTAGAGGACCGCAAGACGCGCATTGCAAGTTTTATCTCGGTCTGATCACCTTACCTTCAGGGAATACGGTATCTCGTATAAATATTAAGCTCTAGGAAATAAGTAAATTCGAAGAGACATCCAATGGGATCCAAGAGCGGTTCTCTACCATCAAGAGCGACTTTTCCTCCTTCGTACAAACGTTCTCTTCATGGGAGAGGAGAAGGAAGGAGAATTGGCAGAGGAAATCAAGGAGCTCGAGCAGGAAATCCTGGACCTGACTCAGGAATTGAACTCCATTCAAGCAGCCCAGAAGACGATAGAGATTATTGCCGGAGCAGCCATTCCGGTCTCCGCAGCCGTTGCAGAATCTTTTAGAACCTGTCACGCCAATCATTCTCGTATGTGTTTAAATGCCTTTGCGAAAAGGCAGTACTAACGAATATACAGCTTGGAGGCCTAATCACTGCGGTTATACAAAGTTTTATACTTGGAGAATAGTCTGGAGCTCATCGGACCGAAGGGGACGATAAACATCAAATCATGACATTACCTGACATCCAGAGGTCTTTTTCCAGCAACTGAACGACTTATGACATTTATCTGTCCTTAGTTCAAGATGGAAATGGAGTGAGCCTCCATGTTCAAAAGCCGACAACAGACGGCAGTCCGCCTCTTTTTCGATGGCTGTATACCATAGATCCTATACCTCCTGAGAGAGTCTTACTGCGAACCTTCCCTCTTTAGTTACCTGAAAAGATCAGATATGCGGTTCAACGAGCTCAAGGTACGTTAAAGTTAAGCTAGAGAAACTTCGCAGGTCCCGCTTACTCGTTATGGGAAACAGGAGAGTGCGCTACGCATGCCTGGCATGGTCTACAGTGAACGTATAGCACTCAAAAGGCTCTTTCAGAAAGTGGGGGAAGAGTTTGATCATGAACTAAGCCCCGGTATTATTGGTAGATTTATAAAGCCTAGTTATTTGACTGAGGCTCTCCAAGAGAAAACTGGCCCCGGTCAGGGCGTGGTATCCTGGCTCTGTTTCCCATACTTTCGCTTCAATCTATTAGACACTGTTAATAACTCACTAGATTCATATCCAATGAAGGGATTACTGCAAGACCTATTGCTGAAACCAGAGAAAGAGATGAGACAAGTCATGAGCCGCATGCAGCCAAAGCGAGATGACGAGTGCCTGCATATCGCACAAATGTGGGCTATTGGGATGAATGATTGTAGGTTCTCGAATTCTCTTGGTAACAGTGACATGACTTTCTAGCTTTTCTCGTCACCTATGGAGATATGGAATTATCTGGCTTCAGCGACATGAAATTGCAACATCTACCCCCAACCCAGTCTACTAAACCCCTCATGAGTCGTTCTCGCAAAATCTTTGTGTCTTTTTACACAACAGTCATGTGGCCTTTGCCTTTAGAGAACTGCTTGACGTGGCCTGTATGTGTACATTTCTCTCTTTGTTGTGGGCTCCATCGTCGCTACGAAAGCACAATATAACGAGGTTGGAGCTTTCTCTTACATTTTGTCCAACTGGACATCAGTCATATGGTGTTCACACACAAGGGGAAAGATGTTGAACCGGGCGAATTTGCAGCGCTAATCAAAACAGAGCATAACATAAAGCTGGCGCTGAACATCAGGTATCTGATTTCCGACCCATTAAATGACTAGTAACAATAACTCAAGTGATTCACTCTAGTGAAAGCTCTGACAGCTTCCCTTCAGAGGAACATGGGGGGTTCACAGTGTTCGAGTGGCTCGCCGACGTGGACACGGCGTCTGAAGATAATGATGATTCAAATGATGAGAAGAACGAAAGAATAAGACCACGCCTAGAACTTATGGATGAATTCTTTCAAAAACAGAGGGGAGACTCCATACGAGGGCTTCTCAAGGAAGATGAGCCCACTAACTCTTTGGTGATGCGTACCACAAAAGCAGCAGAGACACTTTACAGCTTTTTGGCTCCTCTGGGCTTCATGGGTCCCGTTCTGGGAAAGTATTGGGGTGCGGTGTACTTGATAATTCAGGTTGGTTGCTTGCAAGGGAAGAGATGCTTCGCTCAACTGATATGGATATGCTGATAATGACGTTGATAGAACCTGCAATCCGACCAGCAGGAGGATAGAGATCCAGTACAAGACTTCTGTAATCAGTTAATTGATCTGGCATTACAAACAGTGCCGATCAAGCTTCTCTTCTCGCGCGTTGGTCTTGAGCGTTCGACTGGCAATTCCCCTCACCGACTGGAGAAAGCTTGGATGCATCTTTTTATGTCGTTGGTTCATGTCAGAAGAAACCACGTCGGTCCCATAAGCATATGGACATCTGCTTAAGACTGTTTGAACTAGGAATAATGCAATTTAAGCAAGATAACCGCTTTCTGGAGTTTCAGAAACAAAAGGTTGTGCTTCCTCTGGATATTGCGACCACGATGAGTGCTCACCTGTTGGGTAAAGCGTCTCCAGATATAAGTCTTAAAAAGATCTCGAATTCGTACTCGAAACATCTCGATCATTTGGTGAGTATCAGGCTACAGTTAATGCCCTGTTGGAAGATGCTTTCGTACTTCTGTAGAAGTTCTTCAGGGATCGATCTCTTGGTGATGGATCCTGCTTGCCTTGAGTATGACTGACCTTTTTGATTGTCAATTTGAGGTGGCTGCTGCGGGACTCCCGCGGTGATTGAAGATATCTCTGGTCAGTAGATTAGCCCTTATCATTGTCATTCGTATCACTCACTGCCATGATACTCACGGGCTTGGGGTTTGCGCCGCCGGTATTATCTGTTAGAGACTTCCATCCTCGAGGTCCCTGCTGTATCTCGCTTTTCAAGCTAGCATTTGGTGCATGCAGTGCGGCTATTAATGCCTTACCGTTTGCCGTCTAGATCAACTCTGACGGCATTTCATGGCTTCAAGATTAGCCGATTTCAAAGAAGCCACGTAGTCATACTGCACTTTAAATAGCTTCGTTTTGATCGTCTAAATCAAGATGGTCAGACCTTCTTTGAGCTTCGATTCTGCATACAAATTACTAGGCAATACGAAACCTTCATGATCCAATAGAGTGTAGAAGACTGACGAACGATCTGGAATCTTACAAAATTCTGTTAACCATGACTAGGATGTTATAGAACTCCAATGATCAGTAGATCTAAGTAGACTTTCTTCTCTTTTCTCAACTTCCCAACTCTGGAAAATAGCTAATTGAGAGAATAGGTTATGTTCTAAGTATATGGGAAGTCAAGAGAGTAGGTTCTAACGCGAATGAAACCTCGAGTCATTCACAGCTTAACATTATCTTCCTGATCGTATTACACAGTGTTAAACAGTTTCAATCAACCGATGATCAGGAACTCAAAATCTAATTTGAAGCCCGTCTATCAGGAGAGATTCATAAAAACTTTCAATTTCCGGTATAGCTGATTATACTGTCTAGTATAAAGACCACTTATTAGACTGGGACAGATGACATTACGACTACTCTAGGTATACAGATCATTTCCCACCAGTCCAATCTGACCTCCCTATCAAAGTTCAAAAACCAATGGGTTTAATCACAAAAGACCTTGTTGACGGTGACACGCACCACATTCAGTTCCCCAGCCCAGCCAAATTTTCCTGTCGTGTCTCCTTCATTCCCCGTGAGCTCTCTTCTTTCTCCAATAGTCCAGCCAAATAACTCGTGCAATCCGTCCGCTACAACAAAATAAAAAGCAGGCGTAACTTTGGTTCAATCTCCACTTCACGGTTTTCTTTCATATACAGTTGTCTTTCTTCTTGAAGAGGTCTCCCTGAGGCGTTCGGACTATCTCCAGGTATCTCTATTGGAATAATCAAGGGATCACCTTTACTATGCGAAGTCGCGCCCATTTCGGTCCCGGGATCTGTACCAATGAGTACCCCTGTCTTTTTGCCAGGTGCATTTTCCGTTACTGAATGGATATTATACCTTGTTAAGGAGATTGGGTGATTTGAAGAAAAGAACTAGCTTGATGCCTAGCTCTTCTGAATTAGGAATTTCAAAATCTACAGCTTGCTTTTTGAATGGAACAGAAGACGCCCATTCTGCGAAGACTTTCCGTTCCGTATTCGCGCAATCGGGTAAGTTGTCTCCAAACAAAGGTGGTATGTCTGATACTACCTGCGATATCACGAATAAACAGCCTCTGTTGAACTTGGTGGATGATTTACTCTTGAAAAGACAGGAGGATTGAATATTGAGGAGAACCTCGAAAAAGAGGCGGGGTCGAAGTGATGGCATGGCGGGCTAATCAAAGACAACCGATGACTTGATACACGTGATTGAAGATACCTACCATGGACATCTATACCACAAATATGGGTGCCCTATTCTGTCCCAGCAAAGAATCAAAAGGATATTGGAACTGATAAAACAGTATATACTCTTTTCTGTAATATTTGGTACGTGCCAGAAACCGATTCCTAGTTAATCCCAGTAATGGATATCATGGTCTTACCTATCGGGCTTTTGGCTTGTCTTGCTTTATTCTTCTTTAGTTTATACTGGATCAAGTGAGAAGAGATAGCTGCCTACGCACAAGCTGGGTGTACAAAATAGACGGACGAAAAAGAAAATGTCATGAGGGTTGGGGGGAACAGGTGAACTCACGTGCACTGATTGACTACAGAAGAGGATGTAGAGGAAATAGATCATGAGGACTACAGGAATAAATGCCTGGCAGTAAAATGAGTATTAATATTATGTATGGTATCATGTTGGTATTCTACAGAATCTCTGGGTCTCTACTCAGACAGTGTAGCCCCAAGCACACAAAGTCGCACATCTATGATCGTTTCTTGAAAACCAAATTACAGCCATCCTAGAATGCTTATTAGTACAAGCCGGTTAGCCAAATGAAGAGGAGATAAATACTGACCATTGGAAAGAGGGTAGCAAACACCCGAATCTCTTCTGAAAGGGGCGTGGGATGGTGTTCCCAGTCAAGTTCCAACGCCGCCTTGCCAATCATACCGGCCATGGAGAGCGGCACATATCTTCTGGCAAGGCAATCATGGGGGCCTGCACCGAAAACGAGCCAGTTCTTGGTCTTGGACTCGGCGTCACCGGTGATCCAGCGATCGGGGTTGAAAACATTCGGATCAGGGTAAGCTTCCGGATCATGGAGAGCGGGGTAACAAGACGGGATGATCATAGAGCCCTTGGGAACGGTATAGTCGGACGTGACAGGGAAGTTTTTCGTTGCGAGATAAGGAACGAAGATAACAGGGGGTCTATGGCGGAGGAGCTCTTTGATGACGGCGGCCGTATAGGTGAGCGACTCCAGCATCGGAAGATCGAAGGGTTTGTTCTTGTCGCCACCCCGGGCAGCGAGGTTCTCCTCTCGCAGTCGGTTGAGGACATCGGGCCGCTGGGCGAGAATCTGGAACAACCACGTAGTGGCACTGCTGGAAGCATCTTGGGAAGCGAACAGGAAGGTGAACAGAGTCTCGGAGATTTCTTCGTTTGTGAATTCCCGGATCATGTTCGTAGGCTTCTCCAACCCCGTCTCCCCCGCTGCAGTTCTTTCGCGATAGCGTTCAGATTCCATCATGTGAAGTACCCAGTGATCCACGACGCACGAAGGTGTAGCACCCTTGGCCATGTTCACCTTGCAAGCAGCCGCGCATTTGGCAAACTCGACATGAACAGCGTCAGCCGTCCGCTTGCCCAACCAGGTTTTGGTGAACGGAATGTACATTGACAGAGGGACATTGACCAGCTCCATCGCAGCGGTAGCAAGATAGAAGTCGTCGGCAATCTTCTTGACAGCGCTTTGCGAGATATAGTCGCCGAAGAAGGTACGGCAAGAGAGCGCACAATTGATCTCGCGGAACATGGTCATGAACGCCATTGGCCGTCCCTCATTCGCCTCGCTGGCAACAACGAACTTGTTAAAATAATATCCCAGCACCTTTTCTTGAACTGGAAGGTAGGTGGAAATGGCCTTGTTGGTAAACAGCGGCGTCAATCCCCTTCGGTACTCGGCATGAGCTTTGCCCTGCAGGAAAACCCATGATTTGTGGCCGAGGAGGTCTTTGGCGATAGGCACGATGCAGGGTTCGGCATATGCGGGTGATTTGAAAACCTTGTGGGCGATATCGCGGTCGGAGGCGAGGACGACAAACCTATGCTGGTGCGTAAGTAAAAGACCCTTCGATCCCCCTCAGTCGGGGTACAAATGGACAAGACGCATACTTGTGGAAGACGGATACACAGCTGAGAGGCCCGCTCGCCCACTGTGCCAGATATGCCTCGAACTTGGGATGAAGTGCTTGGATAAACGGACCCATCAACGGGATCTTGAACGTCGGCCCAGCGATTGAGCCCTTGCGCTTAAGGTACATAACTGGATGGGTATTAGCCAATTGCACGAGGCAGTACAATTCGACAATGCTCATTGATTACCTTGATCGTAAACCACCACACTGAGCAAAATGGTCACCACATACTGCCAGGTCGACCAGCCCAAGAGAAATTCCGGCACGACATCTTTCTGCGGAGAAGCATTGAAAGAGACAGCCTGAGGCGGCTCCTGCTGTGAGCTGAAAGTGACATTGACGAGTTCGGCGTCCATGTTGAAGTCCTTGAAGTCTTTGAGGAACAGAAAGGAGAGTTGCGCAACCTGTCAGGAGAGGAGGGAGAAGAAGAAGAAAGCAACGAGCTGCTTAAATCGATCAGGAGCGTCGCATAAACGGACGGAACGATCCGCCAACGCCAGACGAGGCCTGTAGAGGGACAGCCCGAATAGGACTAGACTCCGAATGGGACGCACGGATGCCGCATCGTCGAGGCATCGGGGACTAGTCCTCTTTGAGCCGGTGGGGTCTGACCTGATCTCTACAGTACTCCGTACAGTTAATGTTGGGAGTCACCATGGCCCCTTTTATTTGTTGTCATCCCACCCCAAGCCGATGAGACGAGAGGCTTTGCAATCAATCCGGTGCCTGTGGAACTGTAAGCATCCGTCCAGTCAGCCAATATTAATTTAATTTGGCAATTCCACCGGATCAGCCGTCTGACCCGTAGTGACGCATCATACGCCGATTTTCCCACTGTAGTTGTACGGAGAATCTCCTCAAATGAACTGACAGATCGCCCACTATCTGTACATCGACTTCTTGACAACGATCACTGTAGGTGTTTCTCCTAGAGGCATGCATCGACCCGGATAAATTCCCAAGACGAAATCGATCGGGCCAGAAGGAAAGAAGAAGGAAGAAGAGCGGGTCTGCTTAGGTAACCAGGGCCAAAGTCTTGGCGCGGCTCTGATTACGCGCCTGACCGTTCAGGCTGTCAGTCAGCCGGGGTCTCCACCAAACATTCTTCCTTGGATTGTTGCACTTTTCGCCGACTTACCCCTGGAGGTTCTCGTCCCTCCCGCTGTGTGCCCTCAGATGATGCGCCAAACGCTCCGTCGATCCTGTGCCGCATGTGCCAAAGCCAAACACAGCTGCGACTTGCGCACGCCGCGCTGCTCTCGCTGCGAAAAGCGTCAGGTCCAGTGCATCTATGCGAACGAACCCTTGACGGCGCCGCCGGCACCTCCCGGGCGGGAGAATGGCGGATCGTTAGGACCTATCGAGGGCCTTGGTGCGCTCACTACCTATCAATTTGGGTCTCTAGACCCCTTCGGTTCGTATCCGCAGACGAGACTGCCCCGGGAGCGCGTCCAACGTCTCATCCATAGCTGTAGGTAACCGTAGTCGTTCTTTGTCTTGAGCGATGCTTACATAATGGTTTCTAGTCGTTCATAAGATTGCATTTCAGTACTATCCCCTGGATCTCAATCCTACCTCTAATCCTTTTCTCATCTCATGGTGGCCTCTCGCTCTGGGTGATCCGGCACTATTTCACGTCTCGTTACAGACGGCATGTCTGGATGAGGAGTTGCTGGCGCAAAAGGGCTTTCAAGCCTCCGAGATCCTTAACGCCGACTCTGTAGCCTTACTCCGACGCAAAGTACAGGATCCGTCTCTTGCTGTACAAGACGGCACGATGAATTCTGTCATTACCCTGGCGGCTATCGAAGTGAGAATTTCCCCGCGCTAATGTTCCTCTGTTCTCTGTTTATTTGAGTCATCATGCTGATCCCACTTACCTTCAGTTCGGAAAAGGCAATATCAAAGTTAGCGAAATGCATGTCGACGGTGTCAAAAAGCTCATCGAGATGAGAGGTGGCATCAACTCGGTACGGCAAACCAGTCCGCTGACGGCAAGAATGGTGAGCTGGTAAGTGAGAACCATGAGTCGTTTGATCTGCATCGAGTGCTGACATCCCCAAGGGTATCGATGATTGTTACGGGCCACCCTCAGTTCGACACGCAGGATGATTTCGGCGCTGGCAATGGCATACCCACCATCCCGGAATGGCAGCTAGAGTCAACCGCCCGTTATGATCTATCCGACCTTGGAACCATTGAGGTCGATTATGCCGTTAGCAACGTCTTCATCCGTCTTCGCAATGCCTTCCAGCGGGCGCAGCAAACACCGTTGCCCTCCCCGCGACTTCACGACCTCACGTGCTTCGTTGTACACCGACTCCTTCTCTCGGTGCCGGATTCGACAATTTCTCAGTCATCTTCACCAATTACCGAGTGCATTCGCTACGCAACTGTGCTGTATATGTTCACCATTCAAGGGCCATTGTACTACTCGCATGCCGTCATCTTGAACATGATCGTAACCCGATTCATGGATAATCTTAAGCAACTCGACCTGACAAACTGTGGACACAATGACTCATTAGACACGTGGTTCCTTGCCATTGGGATGGTCGCTTCAACTGGTACATCGCACTACCAATGGTTCACGCGCAGAGCAAGAACATTAGCTGCTCACCTGACAATCAGTGACTGGAAAGAAGTCCTTGTGCATATTAAGAACATTCTATGGTTAGACACAGCGCAAGGGGAAGATATATTCCGACCTCACTGGGAAACGATTCTCAATACGTCCAGTCAACAAATCTCGCCAGATGTCGTGATGTGTGTCTCGCCAAGGAGTACCTACGAAGTTCCACACCATATACCCTCTTGGTATCCAGACTACCCAGACTACTCGACAGACGAAAGTCTGCCACTGTCGATGGAAGATAAATTAGACATGGATGTGGTGCCATAGATGCAATTAGATGAATAAAGAAACACCAACGGATGGAGAGTATCAACTTACCAGCTACCTCATAACACGCGTCTTTCGTGACCAAGGACCGACAGAGGTGAGTCCACCTGACCTGCCCAGCTAAATTATTTCTTTGCTTATCAGATTTACAGTCAACCTGATATATCGATATGTGTTACTCAGAACCACTATCACTAACATACCAGCGCCGACGCGTACTTTTCTTGGCTTTTAGTTTCGGCCATTAGTCGAAGGTGAAACATTATGCCTCAACTTATGAGGGCTGATTTTACATAGGCTTTGCGTTCCACAACTTCAGCCTACTGGCCAGATTTGTCTTGCTCATGAATTCTAGAATGGTCATCACTGTTCGAGAGTTTTCAAAGACACCAGTGGCAGAACTGCATAAATCTAAGGTCAACGGTCTCCAGATAGCTCTAGATAGCGTCTATACAATACCACATGAACATTAACCCTAGCATGAGATGCACATGGTTAATGGAAGTGGCCATTGACACTCCTGAATACGTACTCCGTATTTAGCTTGATTTATTTCCGATGCCAAGTCCCACTCAGCAACCAAACCACCATGACCACCCCTGATATATCCACAAATACACGACTATTCCGGGCCAAATCCTATATTCAAATCATAAGAAGCGAATAATATGATACACCACACCCCAAACCCACAAAAATCACAATAATTTACACCTCCTAATCCTACACTACATCCTCAAACCCTCCTCTCTCCCATTCAAATCCGCCACATGAGCCGACCTCCCCTGCACACCCGCAGCCTCAGAGTCTTTCTCCCACTCACTCCCCCTCCTCTCACCACCCTCATCAACCGGAAACACAAACTTCGAGCTCTTCCACGGCTTCACCTTCATCACATACATCGTATCAATCTCCTCCAGCGTCCTACCTTTCCCCTCAATAACAGCCACATAGACCAACCCGGCAGCCAGAAACAAACACCCCGCAAAGACATACCCGAGTCGGAAGTCGATCGCACTCGTGATGAATGGGGTGAAGAACGCGAGTAGGAAATTCCAGAGCCAGTTCGACGCTGTGGCTAGTGACATTGCGCGAGCCCGGTACTCACTCGGATATAGTTCGGCGATGATCGTCCAGATGAAGGGACCCCATGTTGACGCGAAGCCGAGGATGAAGAGACATGCGAAGACGACCATCACGACTCCTGGGGTTTTGGTTTGCTCCGGATGGTCACGGTCGAGAAGGAAGTGGCCGACAGAGGCGAAGATCATGAAGCAGACGAACATCCAGAGGGCGCCGGCGATGAGGGAGCGACGACGACCGTAGTTCTCGATGAGGTAGAGGCCGAGAAACGTGCACCCGAAGTTGACGCCGCCAAGAATCATCTGCGTGACGTAGGAGTTCTGGATTCCGGCGCCGCGGAAGATGGTGGTGCCGTAGTAGAAGAAGTAGTTAGCGCCGGTGAGCTGTTGGAGGGCTTGCAGGGCGACACCGACGGCAACGCGATATGCCATCCGAGGGGCCCGGAAGAGGTGCATCCAGGTGACTTGGCCGCGCTGGACCTCTTCCTCGTACTTTTGACGGATCTCCTCGAATTCGAGACGTAGGGCGCGGTGGTTCCTCGGAACGCCGTACATGTTGGAGAGGGTGCGGAAGGCGCGGTCGACTTTGCCGTGGCGGTAGTCGTAGCGGGGACTTTCGGGGAAGAAGGCCATGCCGACGCCGAGGATGATGGCCCAGATGTAGGTGACGCCCATGGGGATGCGCCAGGAGCTGGTGTTGTCGTGCTCTTCGGTGCCAAAGTTGATGCAGTTGGCGACGAAGATGCCGAGCGTGATGAAGAGCTGGTATGTGCTGACCAGGGAGCCTCGGATGTGTCGGGGTCCTGACTCGGCCTGGTACATGGGCACTAGGAGGGAGAGCGCGCCGACTCCGAGCCCGGCAACCCAGCGGCCCATGGCGACTTGGTACCATTTTCCCGAGGGGCTGGAGATTTGGACCGTGATGCCGACGCAGAGCATGCCGCACCAGCCGGTGATGGACCATTTGCGGCCGATGCGATCGGCAATGGGGGCGGCGATGAGGGCTCCGATGAGAGTGCCGATGGAGAGCTTCGTTGGTTAGTGTCACGGAAGCAATAGTTTCAGTAGGTAAGAAGAAGACCGATCAGGGAGTGGTCATACCAAAGCAACAATCAGTCCCGATCTCGCATTCGAGAAGTAATAGGTCTCATCCGATCCTAACTGCCCATATCGCTCCAAGAAATTCTTCATCTCAAGAAACCCGGAAATCTGACCAGTATCATAACCAAAACAGAAACCACCCATGGAGACAAAGATACCCATGAGAAAGGACCGCCAGGTGAGTAACGGAATGTGCCCATCGACGACCCCCTCCCCTTCAGCGCCAGGAATAGGCGCAACCTGATCCGGGGGAATCCCATCCTGAAAATGAGCATCCGGCTTAATCCGGGGGCCTTTGAATCTTGAAAACTTCATTTCTTAGAGTCGGTTAGTTGCAGGGGTTATCAAATAAACAGCATGGAAAAGAGTATCCAATCCAATCTCAACCTAGAACAGAGCACGTCCGGCCTTAAATGCTTTCCCCAAGAATGATGATGCCATCGACAGGGAGATCACCGCCGCTGGCGCAGGTGGCGTCGAGCTGTACGACATTGTACCACGCGGTCTGGATCGTGGATCAATCCGCGGATGGCGACTCGGAACCGAACTTTATCCTCGGGTGCCAGTCTGGATAGCACACCTCCCCACACTCCGGGGTCCCCGGTTGCCTGTTCCATTCGGGTCAGCTGCTTGGGTGACGTCGGTTCAGGATACGAATTTGTCGTCATGACTTTGATATTTTGCAGATGGTCGGTTTGAACGGCACAGGGCGTTGGTGTAACAGGACTGGACGATTGTGGGAGCACAATGTGGCGAAGAGATGCGGTTAGCTGATCAAGTTACACAGGTTTATGCTAGGCTGCGATACGGTCTGGGATGGATCCTAGCTGTTTGATTCTTGTTGCCATAAGAGCTATCCCCAGCTGGCTGGATGGGGCTGAAGAATAACGACAGGGAATAATAAGCATACAGTCACGCTAATTTTGACAGATTGATATACACTTTATTGATCCCACCTGGAGGACACCGTTTTGGTGGTAGTAAAGAAAGGCCAGTATGCTTTACCAGGAGCATGGCGATCTAGTACTACATTAGCTGTGATCATCTCTCGGAGACTGCTATGTATGTACTTACCACCGAGGAAAGAGTCCTTGTTGCTTGTTCGGACGGCGGTTCCATATGGGGCTGACAGTTCAGCATTTTAGAACCATAGGGTAAAAGCAAGAGTTCTTCTGTAACATACCTATCAATGGGATGTTAACCCCAATCTGCCCAACATTGACTCTTCGTTGAAACGTGTTGGCGTGCTTTCCGCTCGTCGTGAAGATTGAGCATCCATTTCCATCTGATTTCTCAGTCATCAAATCCCTCGGCATCGGGGAAGCACACTCACATTTATTGTGGTTAATTAGTTCAATAGCTTCATCCAGTGTATCAACCTCCATGCATACCAATACCGGTCCAAATATCTCGATCTGATAGCACTCCATATACGTCTCCACTCCGGTGAGAATCGTCGGCCCCATGAAATTGCCATGCGGATAGTCCGTCACTTGCACATCTCGACCGTCCAGCAGAACAGTAGCTCTCTCTTCAACCGCCCGCTGGATAATCCCATCTACTCGCTTCTTAGCCACCTGATCAATCAAAGGTCCGATCTTCGATTCCTGATCCCCACCACAACCAACAACCATCGACTTCGCCAGTTCAGCCAACTTCGGGATCCATTCTCTAGTGCTCCCCACGAAGACGGCGACACTCAAAGCCATGCACCGCTGGCCTGCAGCGCCAAATGCACTTCCCGCGATCGCAAACAGAGTCGGCATCATGTTCGCGTCTTCGAGGACCACGCCGTGATTCTTCCCGCCGCATTCGGCTTGTACGCGTTTCCCCAGAGCTCTAGCGATATCGTGCACTTGTTTTGCTGCGGACTCGGAGCCAACAAAGTTGATGGCTTGGACGGAGGGCTGATTGATCAGTTGAATTGCGGTTGATGGGCCACCGTGGAGAACATTGAAGACACCGGGTGGGAATCCAGTTCTAAGAAACGCTTCCGCTAGAAGTAAGGAAGTGGTGGGTGCTCGTTCAGATGGTTTGAGAACTGTCGTGTTGCCCGTTATCAGTGCATACGGGAGTGACCAGAGAGGAATCATGAATGGGAAGCTGAATGGGGTGATTGTCACGCAGACTCCCTATTACTGGGTCAGTTGCAGTTATGTGAAAGGAACGGATAGGCTAGGTCTCACGATCGGCTCGTAGAAGGTTTGTAACATGGTGACGTCGTTAAGGTACATGCCCGCCATCTCAGGGCCAACTGAGCATGCGGCGTGGATACAGTCGAGTCCACGGAAGACCTCTGCATCTGCATCCGCTAGAGTTTTGCCAACTTCTCGAGATAGGCATGTTACCTGTAACAGGACCGTTAGCCTTGTAGCTTCTCCGGAGCAAGCGATCAAACCACACACAATATCAGGAGACATTTCTCTCAGGACATCAATCAATCTCAGAAGATGTTCTCTTCTCGTCTGGAATCCCAGCGCCGCCCATTCCGGCTGCGCATCTTCCGCAGCATCGACTGCACTCTGGACCTCAAAGAGTGTACTCGTCGGCACTCTGCACAGCAATCGCTGCGACACCTACATTTCAGATCAGTGCTTGTTACTCCAAATTGGAAATACCGCCTCAGGGAACATATGCTTACCGGATCCAAAACACTTCCCCAATCTTTCGCCCTTGACATGACACGCTTATTATTAAGAAACAAATGCGTCACCGTAGGAGGCGGGGGCGGGGATTCTTCCGCATCTTCCACATCCGGGGAACGTCGATCATTTTCAAACCCCTCTAGATCATCAAGCTCATTCACGGGGTCAACCTCATGATAAGATTCCACCCTCCATAGGCTCGATCTATCACTCCCATCGTCTGATCGGCGCCGCGCATGGCTTGTCGCAGCTGCGGCACCACTATCGTCACCACTGCTAGGCGAGATACTGCTAGCAAAAGGCGTGAATCTGACGCGTCTTGAAGTGGTCACCGATGCTTTCGGCATTTTTAGTTATCGCGGTCCAAAATTGAACAGGGAGATGTTTATCTCCATGATTGTTGATTGCGAAGTTGTGCCTTATCGCCTGGGGGCCTGTTTTTGCGGGGAAGGCTGATAAGGTGTGGGGGGGGCTCTTACGTAAGGGGTGATAAGGCAGGATACCAGCATATCGGCGTTGGTGGTGATGCTTTTGAGGAAGGAGGACACGTGGTATTTTATTTTCTGTTATCATCTTGAGAATAGATCGAGATAGACAACTAGGGTGTGAAATTATGAGTGTTGGTAAGTGATCTAGGTCACAGACATCATGTAACACTCAAGTTGGAAATATATAAGGATTACTAGCTGAAGGAACACAGCATCTTGGAAAACATGATAGCGACACTTGTATGTTCAGATCTACATCATCTTATGAAAAACCAACTAGATTTTGAAGGATAGGCATCGATCAGCCCAGCACATGACCCTTCACCACATGCATAACCCAATTGCGGGGAAACATATTCCCGTGAGGGGGTGGCTTCAGAGCATCTGAGTACAAAGAACCTAGGAGTACATTCCACCTTCTTTCACTGATAAAGCTCTCAGGTGCGGTAGTGCCTGATAACAGGTCACTATTAGAGCCTCTATCCAAAATCAGCAGCTGATGCACTGCGATAAGCTTAATCTCTGTGGGAGATCATATCTTATCAGTGCCATCTAATCGCCCTTGCCGTTGAACAGTATCACGGGGATCTATTACTTGGATCTCTCGTCTTTGTCTCCTCTCTTGACTTTCTAAAACACTGGTTTCTCTCTGAAGGTTATAGCCTCCAGTCCTTCTTCTCTCTAGTACTCCGATTCCGGGAGCTTTCTCATATCCTCCAATTGTACCAGATCAACTTCCCCCTAACGTAACGATGGAACTATCCAATGGCACAAACCCCACGAAACCAACATCCTCAACTAGTCGAATCGCCATACTCGATCAAGATGCACTTCTTCTCAGCCTGATGACCAAGATCCGAGACGCAAGCACATCCCACCGAGACTTTTGTTCTGCCGTTGATAGAATAGCCCAGCGGCTAATCACTTTAGGTACAATGTCCACCCAATCACCAATCTAAAGTAGACTAACAAACATAGCACTCACTCATGTTCCTTCGGAGTCTCATAACATAACAACGCCGACAGGTGCCACCTACATGGGAACTCGACATACCAAGGGAGTATGTGGAGTGAGTGTCCTCCGAGCAGGCGCTAGCATGGAGCATGCGTTGCGAAGTACTTGGATGTGCGTCTTTCTTTGCCCTACATATCTATCCGCCTTGCTAAAACATGCCATGAATAGGGGTCCACTGAGCCTCGGACATATTCTAATCCAACGAGACGAGCAAACCAGCAAAGCACAGCTGTATTATTCGAAACTACCACAACATATCAAAGATGATGGTAAGTCCGCAGACAATATTCAAAAATACCTGCTTCTAGCTTTTAACCTAACAAACTAGTGGTGTTACTCCTTGAACCAATGCTAGCAACCGGAGGCTCAGTAATCAAGGCTGTGCAGTCACTAAAGGACTACGACGTGCCTGAGGCCTCCATTGTTCTCGTCAACGTAGTAGCTTCGAAGAAAGGGCTTGATGTAGTGTCGACGACCTTTCCTGAGTTGAATATTGTGTCGGCGGCCGTGGACTCGGATCTTACTGCTGAGAAGTAAGTGCCTTTATGCTGAGTGATTTTAGGCGTTTGCTGACTTCGCTCTGTGAAGTTATATTAGTCCTGGAGTGGGTGACTTTGGAGATCGGTATTATGGTACTTAGGGCTTTTTGTTTGGATGGTTGGTAACTCGATTGTTTATGATGTTTTTCATGTCGGCGTTTGGGTTTTAGTTTGGTGATGTTGGGGTTTAAGTTAAACTTCCCTGTTTCTCTCTTTTTATTTTTTTTTCTTTTCTTTTCTTTTTCTCTCTCTCTTCTGGATACAATTCAAATGCGACGGTTTGCTTGATAAAATTTCAATTATATTCAAAACGACGAGACCTTTCCTGTTTAAGTGGTATATTATGATTTTTTGGTAAGTATATTATTAAACTAAGTATATTATTAAACTCGCATTGAAACATGACAACATAGAGCAACTTTAGACCTGTCAACAGATATCTGTCTCCAAATATTCAAATGTATCAAAAGGTCTACGATCTAAAGTATTCTCCGGTAGTCTTCGCAGAAAGTTCTCAAGAAAAATTACGTGTTTCGGTGCCTAGTGTCTGATTTCTAAACAAATACTCTCAGTGGAAAACAACACATTAAATTGAGACTCGATACGAAAGAACCCCTTAGAACGACGTTCCAAATAACCTATCCCCAATATCTCCCACACCCGGTTCAATATACCCCTTATCATCCAGACCCGGATCGACCGCGCCAACCACAAATTCCGTCGACTCAGGCCACACCTTCGCAGCACGATCCAAGCCAACAGGTGTCGACAGCAACGACAGGAAAGTAATTTTATCGATTCCCCACTCCCTGCCACATAAACAGTCAACATCCTAGAAACACATAGAAGAGAATGGGAAAGGGCCACTTACCTCAAAATATCCACCACCGCGCCCGCCGTACCTCCCGTTGCAATCAACGGATCCAACACAATCGCCTGTTTAATGTGCTCCGGTTTCGTCGGCAACTTATTATAGTACTCGACGGGCTGGAGGGACGATTCATCACGGAAGATCCCCATGTGGTAGACGGCGGTTGAGACTTCTGCGGGGACGTTCTTCATGAAGCCCTCGAACATGGCGAGGCCGGAGCGCAGGACCACGATAATTGCGAGTGTTTCGTTACCGGGGGCCTTGAGGGTGATGTTTTGCGCGATTGTGGAGGCGGCGTCGTGTACTAGAGTTCGGATGGTGGAGGGTTTGAGACTGCGGTCGCGCAACTGGTCGAGGAGAATAGTGAAGGTGGGATCTTGGATTGTGTGGACGTTGGAGGGGTGGGAGATGGCCATTTTGGTAGTTATGTTTTTTCTATAGTGCTTTGGCGTGGTGAGGTGCTGAAGAGGAGGAATTGATCTCGGAGAGAATATGTTATGGTGGGATGGATGCTTGGAGATTGGGACAGGTAGGAGAGTAGATATAGCTCGAAGCTGTTGCTATGGACATTCGTTATGAACCGATGATATCGCCCGACTATCTTCCCTTATAGATTGCCCCCAGCTCATCAGATAAGATAGCCCTATCAACCCTCCCGGCGATAAGCCCCTGGGGGACACCCCCCAAGGACCTAAACGGGAAGGGCTTGGCAGCTGCAGCTGGCCGCGTCGACCAAATCAGCTGCTCTTGACCTGCATACAACCCCTCATTCTGGATGTGTTGTCAACCTCTCCTCAAGCCTCTTGAACTTCCTTCTTTACTCTGTCATATCTGGAGACACATTCACCGTGTCAACATCCAAGCTATCCACCATGTCCGACACAATCAAGTATCTCCTGAGCTTGAAAGCCGTCCGAGAAAGAGCGCAAATCGTCTTCCAGAATGCGGAGCAAGGCAAGCTCAACCATTTCGACTACCATCCAGAAAAGCTCGACGCAACCGCAGAGTATGTGATGAATATCATCGAGGTGAGTATTCCATTCTACAAAGAACAAGGAAGTCGACTAACATATGTTCCTGCAAAGAGAGACTTCGGACCCGACAAATACGATCGCATCCCCCCCCACGGTCGCTGGCAGCATTTCGACGTCGGCGGTGTACCTAGGATCGCCGAGTTGATCGAGCGATGGGACTCACAGGGATACGATGGTGCAGAGAAAGTGCGAAGTCTAGTTGATCTGTTCTTTGTGTCGGTTCTCTTGGACGCCGGAGCTGGAGATCACTGGCGCTTCCGCGAGGAGAAATCTGGACAGGTATATAACAGAAGCGAGGGGATTGCTGTTGCGTCACTGTATATGTTCTTGGACGGGACTTTTGCAAACAAGGATTCTCCCCGCAAGGATGTGGTGCATGGTAAGCCGCATCCGACCTGGGTGCTTACTACATAACGAGCTTACACAAATCCGACTAGGCGAGGCATTGCAGAATATCACTCCGGAAGAACTGTCTCGCGGATTCCAGGTCCACGGAGACAACCCCTTGGTTGGAGTAAACGCGAGGACCGAGATCATTAAACAACTGGGAGCATCCCTGAGAAAACTGTCAGATATCTATGGTCCGGAGGGCCGCCCAGGCGGACTTGTTGGTATGTGGCATTTTCGTGAACCCACTAGCTATGTTCCATCTAACACTACGCAGACTACCTGCAGTCTCAAGGCAAAGAAAATATCGACTACACGCAGCTCTGGGACGCCCTTCAAACCACCTTGATCCCAATCTGGCCATCCGACCGAACCCGCATTGAGGGAAACCCTATTGGAGACGCATGGCCTTTGGAGGTACTCTCACACAACCCCTGCAAGTCCAACACGGGCAACATCCAGCCATTCCACAAACTCACTCAATGGCTGGCCTACTCGCTAATGGTCCCGTTCCAACGCCTCCTGTCTGTGAAATGGACGAATGCCGATCTTGGCACAGGTCTACCGGAATACAGAAATGGAGGGTTGTTTGTGGATATGGGTGTTCTTACATTGAAACCTGATACGTTGCAGCGAGGGTTGAAGACCTCCGGGACTAGTCTGCCTTGTTACCGGGTTATGGACGATGAGATTGTTGAGTGGCGCGCAATGACGGTAGCTCTGCTTGATGAGTTACACAGACGGATCTTATCCAGTGGTCGGTTCGGTGAGACGAAGTTAACTCTGCCACAGATGCTGGAGGCAGGGTCTTGGAAAGCCGGAAGGGAGTTGGCCGCTGCGAACAGGCCGGAGAGTCGCTGTAGTCCGATTCTGAACTCGGGAGATGGTACATTGTTTTGAACGGCTATTGGTTTAGGCGCAGCTGTCTATTGCACTTTACGGAGGATGAATAAATTAGATATCCTTCGCCACTTTAGACAACTGACTACATCAGCTCTACAAAAATAAAGTCTTTTTAGTTTAACATGTTTTCTGTTTGCGATACCCATATTAAAACTTCAAGGCCTATTGTCCGTAGAAAAATTAACTATTACACGGAACGAGCATGCCATACTTGAATTCCGCAAACCCTTTTTCCTTCCTTGCCCTATATATCAGACCAAGACAATAGCCAGCTGAGATAAGATAAGATTAGATGAGATACCATCGCAGATAAGCCAAGATAACCCAGAACCACGGTTCTTATCTCCCCTCCTTCGACCCCAAGTAGCTTTATCTACCAAGGATCTCCTCTCCGTGTTTCTTCTGTTGCCCTGGTACAGCCGATAGCTCACCAGCTAATCTCCAAACTACACTGGGGCACGATGACAGCTGATAGGTGTCCGGCACATCCGCAACCTCCGTCAAGATTGCACGCAAGGGCTTATCACTGTGTCCGGTGATGTGGACGAGACCGACCGTAGAGACGTCTAGGTATATAATGGAGGTTTTCATCGAACAAAGGAAAAGCAGTTTTGTGTCACTTTCTTCTCTGCATTCGTATAACACCGTTTCCACCCTCTTCACCCCCCCCCCCCAAATCTCAAAATGACAGGCACGACAAACCCGACCAAGTCGGTGATGGAGCACTACTCCAACCGCATCGTCGTATGCTATCCACACATCTATATCTCCTCTTAACACAACCAACCAACTAACAACTCCAGCTCACAACCTACCCCAACCAAAGCGTCGCCAACCCGATCCCCTTAAACTGGGGCGCCTCAACACCCACTACGCGCGGCCCCGTCATCGTCTCCCGCTCCAAAAGCACCATCAGCAAACGCAACGCGATCGGCGCCCACGGAGGCAGCTACGCGATCTACGGCGCGCTCGCCATCGCCTCAGGAGCCCTGGACCCCGACTTCCGACCGAACTTCCTCAACACGCAGCCAACATTCAACTTCCCCGCGCAAGCCGCATGGGGCGACAAGACCAAAATCGTCTCTATGGACCCCTTCGGCCACGAAATTGTCAAACACTACGCCCCCCACATCGAGGCCGGGTTGGACGTGCGGCCCACCATCGCCGTGACACGAGCCACGATGCGCGTCTCCGAAGTCAGCGAAGCGATCAACCTCAACCGACTCCCGATCGACGGGAACATCGTGCTAAACGGCCAAGGCGACGTACGAGTGACAAAAGTAGCCGTGGAACCTGTCTGGTATCTTCCCGGTGTAGCGGCGCGGTTCGGCGTCGACGAAGTGCTTCTTCGCCGGGCGCTATTCGAGCACACGGGCGGGAACTATCCCGAGCTGATCACCCGTCCGGATATGAAAGTATTCCTACCCCCGATTGGCGGACTGACGGTGTATATCTTTGGGCCGCCGGAGCGGGTATCGGATCCGAATATTCGTCTGGCGTTGCGGATTCACGATGAATGCAACGGGTCGGATGTGTTCCAGTCGGATATTTGCACGTGCCGACCGTATCTTGTCTTTGGGATCGAGGAGGCGATCAAGGAGGCGCAGAATGGGGGCTCTGGGGTGGTGATCTATTTCCGGAAAGAGGGGCGCGCGTTGGGTGAAGTGGTCAAGTATCTGGTTTATAACTCGCGGAAACGGGGTGGTGATACGGCGGATCAGTATTTCCAGCGCACGGAGAATATTGCTGGTACGAAGGATGTAAGCTTTCTCTTCCCTACCATCCTTGCCCTTCCCAGGAAACTCCAGTCAACCCCAGTCAACCATATCTAATGCGGATATAGATGCGCTTCCAAGCCCTCATGCCGGATATTCTGCATTGGCTGGGCATCACGAAGGTGGATCGCATGCTTTCCATGTCGAATATGAAGCACGATGCTATTGTGGAGCAGGGGATCCCGATCCTGGAGAGAATTCCGATCCCTGATGGTAGGTTGTATACAATCCATGGCTTGGAATGGTATTGACGCTCGCAGAAATGATTCCCGAGGATTCGCGGGTGGAGATCGATGCGAAGATCCATTCGGGGTACTTCACGACCGGAAAGCAGTTTACCGAAGAAGACTTGAAACAAGTCAAAGGGCGTGGTTGGGATGCGTGGGAGGATATCACTGTGAGTATTTCTGTCGTTGTAAGAGATGTAAGTGGCTAACTGTGCTGCAGCACTGAGGCACTATTTAAATAGAGGGGGAAGATAGAGGCGGTAGGAATAGAATGCTTGAATTGTATGAAGCTCTAGCTCTTCAGCGAGAAAATCTACTCCGTACTACGGTCGATCCACTGTGGGTCAGCTGACATATAGACTAACTATAACTAATAGACAGGTGCAACGCCATACAAGCGAGACCCCGTAGATTGAAGCTAAATCCTGATCTTATGAATCCGAACTATAGCCATATGGCTGATTAGCACAGCGAGCGATCTATAATATTCGCCCAGAGACATACCTTACCTCCCCCCGCAAACACTCATTTACTGTGCAAGTCGCGTCAACGTAGCCCCTGTCTCCATTCTTTTGGCTCAACATCTTAACGTCAATTTTCGCCATTCTTCGACATCCATAAGGAAGGGGGCATCATGGGGTTCGTTTCTACGGCTATCGGATCGATTGTAAGAAGATCTACGATATCCTTATTCTCTTCTTCTAGTATCAGCTCGTGTAAATCGCTCACACAAATTCTATTCTTCGCTAAATGGTCTATTGATCACTGCTGATACTCATGCGGTCATCAATTAGCGTGGCCGGCTCCATGGGCTCCTGGCTGTCGCCGATCAACTTCCCTTGGCCCCAAGCTTGGAAGCGAATTTGTCCGTCCTGTGTTCCTAGTATCACGCGTATCTCATAGGTGACCCAAGTTTTTTATTTATTACCATGACATAACCGCGATGAAACAAGTTTAAATTGAGGCGGTTCAGATCACATTGGGACTTGGGCAATCAGATAAGTACCTAGGGTTATTTGATGTCAGCCGCGGCCGCAAAGTATTATTCTATGACAAGTTGCATGACAGAAAGGAGCAACAAACCAGGAGCGTCAGGCTGTGAATTAAGACGAGTCTCTTTCGACTCGTAAATACAAATTGTTTTTTTCCAAGACACTCGACTCACATGGAGCAAATTAGCAGGATGTGATATAGTCTGATTGTCCACATACAAGCGGCCCTGTGGGAAATAACAGAGATGTTAGAAATTTATGTTTTGTGTATCACCACGAACAACACAACTCACTTTTTCTAGGAACCAAACAATCTATTAATCTACACCTGATGGATTAAGTGTCTGCTCGTCAAAGCCATAGTTTGACCGGGTTGTTCTTGCCGCCGGGCGTGAAACGCGGTGGCCCCAAAGCGCAGCCCCCGTTGCGACCGCTGCTTGCCTATGCGGTACATACCGTCTGAATAAGCTTTCTGTAGGAGATATCCTAGGGATAGAGCATACTAACGGATCTTTAAGCGGAAAGACGGCGATTAGGTGCGTTCGGTCGAAAACATCGGCCACCTCCCGGCGGTGATACATCGACTGGCTGAACCCACCCACGAGGAAGACCTTCTGGAATTCTGAATTAGATATAGTATATGTTTATCCCAAGTATTACACCTACAGTGCGTAGTCCTGGTTGATGGCTGGCGTCACGAGCGTCTTTGAGATGCGTCCTGAGCAGCGCACAAACACGACGGACGACAGGCTCAGTCATTAGATGCAAGACATGCCTGTTAGCCAGTAAAAGTTAGAATGATATGAACCATGTGAAGCCAAAGGCACAGGAGAAAAAGAAAAGCCAAGGAGAGAGACACAGGAGAGGAGAGACCGGGGGGTGGATAAGGAGCGAAGGCATGTAAAACCCACCTTGGGAGTTCAATCTGGGATATCGATGCTGGAAGGCCATGATCCAGTAGACGCTGGCGATAAACATTTTCTCCCTGCGTCCCGTCGTATCCATGTTTGAGAAGTTCGAACCACTTCATCACGGAGCTACCCGGGGCGATAAGATGACCTGGCGGCGCTTGATTGAACGAATTTTGCCATTGATTTGACAAGAATCGGCAAAACGCACGGACGATGCTGGTCGAGCCGATGATGTCCCCTGCATCGATGATATCCGTCAGTTAATCTTTCCTTCACACGTTTTCGCACGATTATTACCTGTGCTGGGCGTCAGCTCACGGTACTCGAGGGGATTTTGAGACGTGATAATGTAGCTGGCAATATCCTGTTAATTCCCGGAAGTTAGTGCTCACGTCGCTATATCATATCGAGGCCACTCACGACGCTTCCTCCCCCGCAATCACATATAACCGCATATTCACCTGGCTAGATCCAAACATTTCAGATTGCGCTTGCGATATGAAAGCAGGAAAGGGAATAGGGTGTTCTTCAATCGTCAACTCGCTTCCATTCTCCAGACGCCCACGCAGCAGGGTTGTCATTAGGGCCGCTTCGGGCTCCGTCAACAAAGAAAGCTGATCGCCTGCGCGGCTCCCGAATCCGGCCCGAGAAGCAGCGCGTCGGAGATCTTCTCGCGGGATCTCAGACCAAGCCGCTGGGACAGCCAGCCAAACCTGCATCTGGATTAAATCCAGAGGTATCCCCCATCCTTCCGGGTCCTTCGCCAGATCTTCTCGCACGAAAATGCCCAGCTGCTCGTAGAGCATATGCAGGTAGTCCGCGACTACCTGAACCGGAGATCTTCCACCTGGCAAATGACTCACGCCGACTGCAATTGCCCATTGTAGATCCTCGTCGCTGACTGTGGCCCCCTCATCCGTGAGCAGCAACTTAGTCCAGGACGCGGCGCTCATGGTTGGCGCGACCTGATGCCCCCATCGTACGCCGTTCTGGACCAGCCCCGGATTATCCTCTGGGTATGCTATGCGGTTTGGCGTCTTGCAGGTGAATAGGTGGCGCAGATAATCGGATGGCCACTATCGAATGAGAGTAATATCGGGAGGATCCAACCATGATCTGGAAACGCAGATTCCTGTGCATATTTGTCAACTTTCATCTCCCCACAGGACTTTCTTGGATGAGGTGCTTTTAAGACTTACCGCTGAAGGTTGTGCCATAGTCAAGACCAATGATAAGTGTCGGTGGGGAGGAATCCATGGTGGATGTGTTGTAAAGAGATCCCGAATCGTGGTAGTGGACAAAGTACACGATCAGAGCGAGGAAGGGAAGTCCGGCTAAATATGCAACGGAATCTGAGAAATCGAATTGTTGGGAAACAAGAAACTCTCTCCGGACCTGATAGAAAGATAGAAAAGATCAAGACCTCCAGCTAACAAACAGCCCCTGTATCTTAGTTCAGGGTCAGCAAACACATCCCATACCCTTCTACCTATTGGCATCCTCCCTTTGCCGGATGGGCCGAGGAAAGAGTTCGGACAACCTATAATGATGAAACAACTGCCCTGGAGAACAAAATAGTCCAAAGATATCAAAACCAAATAAAACCAAGTGACGTTAATCCGAATCCTCCCACAAATGATTCTCCCACCCCCTCCCATCATCCTCCGTCACAACCACCCACATCACCCTCTGCGCCACTTTCATCTCGCGCTTCTCCACCCTCTCCAAGCCCCTCTGACTCTGCGCCAATTTCCTCGTCACCCGCTTCTCCCGCTCCTTATCAATCTTCTCCCTTTTCTTCTCCCACTTCCGCATCTCCTTCTCCATGTCCTCCTGCACAATCAACCTCCCCTGCATCGACTCCCCCAGCGGTCCCTCCAGCCGGTCCCGCGCCCGAGCCCGGATCTCGCCCTGCGCGGTCTCCACCTCGGCCAGTTTCGCGTCCAGCTCGCGCGACGCTTCCTCTGCCTCGGTGGCCAATCTCGTCGCTTTGTCGCGCTTTCCGCTGAAGATCGCGTTTTGGCGAGAGGCGAACACCCGCGATTGCTTCTCTGAGGCTCGTTTGAGCCAGTTCTCTGAGAGGGGCAGGTCGGCGGTGAAGTTTAGGGGTTGGACGTAGCCGTGGAGTGCGGACATGCGGCGGAGTTGGGGGTCGTTGGCTTCGGTTTCATTGTTGTTGGTGAACTGGGTTGGGGAGGGGGGTTGTTGTTGTTGTTTGTTGTGAGAGTCTCCGTTGGTGCTTGAAGATGAAGATGGATGGTAGGGTGGGAGGGGTGAGGATGGCGATTGTGGTGGTGGTGGATATCCGTCCTCCTTACGCTTGCCTTTCCCCTTACCCTTTCCTTCACCACCCTGAACATCATCATCATCATGAGAATGATCCTCAAAAACCTCCTCCCCCTCCCCATCCCTCCCCCCCTCCTTCCCCCCTCCAACCTCAAAAACCCCCTCCGGAACCCCTACCACCTCCATCATCTTCCTCGTCTTCAGCACCTGCACCCTCAACCCCCTGGGCACAAACAACTCCTCATTCGCAAGTCTCAAATAAGCCTGCGTCCGCATCTGCGACAACTTAACACTCCCCAACTCCGTCGCGACCTGCACGCCCAACGCCGCAAGCTGAATCTCCAAGAGCGGCACGAAGCCGAAAATGCTCGTTGTGGCGCTGGCGGCTTGCAGGTACGGATGGGCGAGCCAGACGGCGTTCAGGCCGTCGATGAAGGCGAGGAAGTCGGTTTGGGTGATTGTGCCGTTTTGGTAGACGGTGGCGGGGCCTTGGTAGGTTTTGCTTGTTGGGAGGTCGTTGTAGGTTGCTGTTGTTGTGGCGAGGGCCGGGGGGTAGGCGCGCGCGAAGGGGCGGTAGATTGTGCCGTGGAGGGTGTGGGATGTTTCTATCTTGGTATTAGAGTTATTGGGGTGGTATTTGGGGTGGATGGATGAGAAGGGAGGGAGGGAGAGGGTGTTGTGGGGCATAGATGGTAGATAGAATGGTTCATCTCATCTACTCTACTAGACCACTCCATACAATAGAGTAGAGTAGAGTAGAGTAGAGTAGAGTAGAGTAGAGTAGAATAAATAGATGGAGAAATGTGGGGTAAGCCCCCAACCTAACCAAACCATCTAATATCTACAACCCATATAAATGTGGAGCCTTTCCCCCAAAAAGAAAAAGAAGAACATACGCGGAATAACACACGGCAACTTCCCCTCCCGCGGCCCATCCTCAATCTGATTCCGAATCAAAGTAGGCGGTTCCGGACGCTCACTATACGCCGGAAGCGGGGGCGGATCGAACGGCGAATGCGCATACGTGAACCCAGCAAACCCATCCTGCGTGGTATGCGTCGGGCCCGGCACAGGCGCGTGGGCGGTATAATCATACAGGTGCTTTTCATCCGTGGGGTGGTGCTGTGACTGCGTGGACGGGGTGCGGGACGACGGCCGAGGGGGTAAGGGCGGTCGATAGCATGCTTTCAGGTCTTTCTCGTCCATGGCTTGGGTCTTGTCTTCCTGGTGGGTTGGGAGGGATATACAGCTCTAGAGACCCGAAGGACGGAGGGGAGCTGATCTGATAATCGATAGGGAGAGATTTTTTGGCTGTTTGTTTGGTTTGGTTGCGTTGCGAGGCGGGGGAGATTAACTTAAGATTAAGGTTGATGACTCAGCGGGGGGACTCTTTGGTTTCGTTGGGCTGGTTTTTTTTTTTTTTTTTGTCGATCTATTCAACTTACCTCGGTCGAGATATGACAGTACGTATTTATAATATGGGAAATGGATTGCCTTGACACGTTTGCAATTACGACATACATATAGATAATATCAATATACACAAGAAAAGAAAATGAATCAACACCTCCATCCAGCAGACAAATCTAACCCCTCGTATACGGCGGAGGCGGATCATGCACCACTTCTGCCTCTGCCGGTCCCTGTCCAGGTTCTTCTCTCCGCGGTCCAGTGCCAAACGTAGTCAGCTCTACCTCCGACCCAGTCTTCTTCTTCGTCACCCGTTTCTTCTTCCAGAACAAAATACCCCCGACGATGATACCCAGCCCGACAACCCCCACCACGACTCCAATAGCTATCTTTGCTTTAGTAGACAGTCCTCCCGATGGCTTCTCGTATGGCGATTTGCATCCCAGACTGTAGTCGCTGTGAGGTTCTCTGGAAGTTTCGTTGATTCGGTAGACAACCGAATCACAGTCGAGTGGGAGATCGGTTTCGATATGAACAGAGTCAAAGGTTTTGAGGTTGGGAAAGGAGACGCTAGGCATTGTTAGTTCATTGGATGGATGTTGAATGTCCCGTGCGAAGACGGGGACTCACTCTTCGATTTGTCCGTGAAAAATGATAGAATCGCCTTTGGTGAGTGGCAGGGTGACGTTGAGAGGGTAACTCGACTGGATTTTCAGAACACCGGCGACGTCGTCGAGACGAGGAATGGAAAGTCTAGAAGGGTCAGCAATCGAAAATAGCGTATGTACATAGATTTAACATCGTACCTTGTGATATGACCCTCTAGATCGAGCCAATCGTGGCTGTATGTCAAGTGAGGAAAGTCAAACTCTACAGAGGTATTCGCTGATTGGATGATGAGATTCGCATTAGATAGTTTGGGTGCAATGAGTCTGGTGGTATGTTAGCATTACGCAGCCTATGATACCGGATAGAGATACCTAGGTAATGGACAAGGCAAGGACTCACTCTGATAGATCCCCCGCAATTGTCAGTTTGTGCGCGACTTCAAGATTTGGCAGAGACACCTCCATTGCGCGACGTGGGGCCGGACCCGTTTCCGCAGAAAACATGTAGCTGCACACTCCTTGATTGCAGATAGATAAAAAATCGGTGACATTCTGCAGAGAGTCGAAGCTTACTCTAATGCTGGGTTAAATACCACGGCTCAATGATGGCTGCCAGATTGCGGCATACTAAGCGGATACATACTTCGAATAATTACCCCTCACGTAGAGAACATCTGCCGTCTGGAGTCCTCTGAAATCCACCTCCGCGTTGTCGATGTACTGTTCCAATATCATAGATCGTAGATACTCGAGCTTCGGTATGGATATTCTCTCTAGCGTGTCGGATAAGGCCGCCACCTCTATGCTGCTTTCTAGGTACTGAAGGTCCGGTAGATCGATAGATGTCACGTTAGGCGTCGGTTTCCAATCCCACCAGTCCAGCATGATGCTTCCCGTGATGTTGGTGATGTTAGGCAGCAAGAACTGGCCCGTAAAGTTGGTGGCTATCAAGAGAGAACCGAGCATGACCGTGCACGAGGAAGACAGAGCATCGATGTAGTGTTGGTCGGTGACGTTGAAATAACTACGGTCAAATGGGGGAGTGCATTCTCGCGACTGGACTAGGGTTTATGGTCAATGTTGAAGGAGCAAATGGTGGAGGGTCAAGTAGCACGGTACCTCCAAGAAGCAGGCCCAGAAATGGGAGCAGGGACCAGACGTTCATCTTGATATCTATGATCACACCTTGTCGCCGCACAAGTTCCTGAAGATCTCTTTCCCCAGAAAAAGAAAGGGATCATCAGGTGGGTTGCGGACCCCCTATTAAACGGGGTGCAACATCGCCCGCGCTAGCCTAGCCTGGTGGAATTATGTTGCCCGGAAGATGGCACTGGCCACGGGGCACGATAGGTAGACGCTTGCCCCAAACTAGGGCGGAACTAAGGCACCGCCAAGGACGACCAATTCCACCAATTCTCTGCGAAGATGCACATGGGCTTGGCCAACCAGGGCCGGAGTTTCTATTTGGATTTCCTCTTTAGCGCAGGAACCCAGTCGAGGCTGTGCCCTAAGACTAGCCCGTTACATGTGGCAATGTCTGCAGAGTGTAAGATGGAGCAGGCATATAATCGTTATTCATTATCTTCTTTCTCGTGCTTCTCGTTTATCTCGAACTGGTCCCATTTCTCCAAAAACATATCCATGGCGACATCAGGCTGACGCGCCGGGCCCTGTTCAATCACCAACGAAAAATGCGGGTAGAAACTGCTGAATTCGTGGGCGTCGTTGTTTCGCCAGCTCTGGCTTTCGAAATCCGTAAACAGCGCTCCCGTCTCGGCGGGTAAGGTCACCTGCTGCTTATTCGCCGACAGTTGGATCATCCGCAGGATCCCCTTGGCGAGCGCGAAGCGCCGCGCGAACGACCGCGCCACGATGCACACCTCGATGAACGCGGCACGGTTGTCCGGCTCGTCCAGCACTTCAAGCAGGGTGAAGAGCGAGATACTGATCCATTGTATTGTTGACGGGGCCATGCGATCAATCCCCCAATTATCACGGTGGACGCTGAGTAGGTAGGATATTCGACGGGCGGTCGAGATGCAGATGGTACGCGCGCGGTCGGCCGCATCGGGGTCGAGGTCGGGATGTGCCTTGTAATTTGAACGTAGGAAGCCGAAGATTTGAATGACTGTGGTGTGATAGAAAAGACTGAGGCTGTGAGCTACTAGGTATGATTCAGATCCTAGGATGAGAAACTTACTGGATGCTTAGTATGTGCGGTACTGTGGCGTTTTCGGCATCTAAGCACTCGGGCAGATTGGCGTACCAGCCCTGAAGTTGTCGGTACGTGTCGTTGACAAAGTGCGTCATCGAAAACTGGGGCGATCGGTCCTCCACATTATGAAAAGCTCGGCTGATTCTAATATTGATACAATTGAGATCGCACCATCGGTCGAAGACGCAGTTGTGGTGGCCGGGCACCGGTTCGGAATTTCTCGGGTATGGCGACCAGACATCGTGAGGATGGTGTTGGATGGCGACGCGAGGACGGCGAGGGGGGGTCACTTCAATGTGTTTCATCAACGACACGGCAGCAGTACTATCAGGTCTTGTTAGCCATCTCAATGAACCAGATGAACGGCAGAACGTACGCGGCAATGCAGAAAGTCCCCCACAGTGTATGACTTGCCACCGTCTCCAACTGCCGTGCGGATTCACTGTCTGTCGGTCGAGGCGGATGGGCGGCAGCGTATTCGGCGGCTGATCGCGTCGCGAGGTCCAGGTACATCCACCCCAAGCGGTCTTTGCCCATCAAAGTCATTCTGCCCCGTGGTCAGTCACGTAAGACAACGCTCATGCCGAAGGATTCATTTCACCCACCGGATAAAGAGAATCAGAAGTCCCTGAATGGTGGGCAAAGAAGCAGCACCATCCTCCTCTTCCTCCTCCAGCAACCGTCGCGCTTCGTCGTAGAACTGTGTGCCTCGCGAAAGGGGATCGCCGGGGATGGTATACACCTCGGCGTAATCGGAGTAATACTGAACGCTCAAATCATCAACACACAGCTCGCCGGACCGAACGGTGTCGGTACAGAGCGGGAAAGAAAACAAGGCAAAGAAAAGGCTATGTGTCCATGCTAACGTACACTGGCCTCTGAGAGGATCACGTTCACCAGGAAGGGTGAGCAGAATCGGCAGTCCTGCCTGCCTGCCTGCATGTCGCGTACAAACGCGTCCTTATCCATCCAGTGGAAGAACGGATAGGTCCAGGTCAACCACAACGACACCAAATGTGACACCAAATCATCGTCGTCGGTCATTCTTGTCCACGGGTTGGCCGGCACGCGGTAGGTCGGGATATCGGTGAGTCGTCGAACGTCCAGCATTCGCCGGCCGCTTCGCTGGCTGGCACTCGCCTCCTCGTCCACCTCATCCTCCGTTCGAGACAACTGCGATTGGAATTCACGAAGTTCGGGGGACCCTTCGATCTCGGACTGGGAGAATTCCAGTTTGAGGAAGACTTGGATCTCGCCGAAGGACGCGTTGCTGCGGATGAGGTTCAGCAGCTGGGCCACGCGGGTGCCTTGGCTTTCCCGCAGGGCGTTGACGAGACGCTGCAGGACGTCGGAGGCCAGCTCGAGTCGGTCGAGTTTACGCTTCATGGCGAATTTGCGGCGCATATCGGCCATCTCGTCGACGTGGCATTCGATGCCATTTGCCACGCAATGTTCGCAGGGCGGATCTCCTCGACACTAGAAGGGTGGCAAGGTCAGTTTTCGAGGCCCGAGCAGCGACGGGGGAGGGAATAAGGACAGAGAATGCTGACTGACTTTTAACTTCTTCTGTTTACATGCCCTACAGGCAGTGGTCTTGTGCTTCCGACCGGGCACTACATCGTCGGGCGAGTTGGATTTGTTAGGGGGGTTCGGGAACGGAGCGAGCGGACGCGAGGACGATGACTGTGAATCGGACATGTAGAACAACGAACAAGAAGGGGGAGAGCTCACATCGACGCCATCACTTTGGCGGGACCTGTGAGCTCTTATAGTGGTGAGGGAAGGTGCGGCCTTTTTTTCTGGAATTTATTTTTCAATTTTTAATTTTCAGGGTTGGTGTGAAATTTGATAGTGAAGGGGGACGTTCTAAAAGTAGCAGTCATTACTCCGAGAGAATGCCTAAGGTACTCCGTCCTACTAAGGACTAAGGTCAGTACGTTTCTCCCGCGCTGACAACAAACGAAAACATGGAAAGCGTCTTGGGCGGAAAAAGGTTCAGAGGGCAGGGTATCGGGGCGGGCCAATCACCGCCGAGTGGGTGGATCTGAGTGGGGCCCGGGCTTCCATTCTGTGGTCGCCTGCAGATCGACCCATGCGGGTCTGCTGGCCGGCTGAGACTGCCAGCCAATCGCTCGGAGGGCGCTTACTCGTCCCGGACAGGGGAGGTCGGCCTACTCCGGGGATTGGCTGATTTCGTCTGACTAAACAGGCCAGTGCGGTTCCAGAACTGTCGGGCCAGACTTTCTGATTGGATCAGTGGCAGGTTGGTTCGTCCAGCGTCGAAAACATGAAATCATTAAATCATTCTGGAGAACGTTGTGAGTTAAAAGGCAGGAGCGATGAGCGTGGATACATCATCCTGCGTACCGGAGTACTTCGTCAGGTGAAAGCACCCGAGACCGCCTTCTCCGTTCGGCGGACCTCTCGGGTCAAGGACCCCTCAGCCTAGTCGGGTCCTCTGGTCGGCGTTGCCATCCGCCATTAATGCATGCACGAACTAGTACCCTGGGAATGGCACCAGGCCACTGCGAATCCCGCGGAAATGCAGCATCTAGCCATTCTGATTGGGCGGTAATCCTGCCAACACGCTGTCGAGTCAGTGACTGGACTGAAATGGTGATGTTTGCTCCGACCGAACCCAAGGGACTTGGTATATCCGGCACGGCTCGACCAGTTGTCTGCAGTAGTCTCCTGCCCAAATGATCCTAGCCACATCTGCCGTCTCAGTCTGGCCGAGAGGGGGGTGGGGGGGCACATAGGGTTTGTCGGTTGCAAGGATGTGGCAATGAATCCGGATTATATCGACTGAACTATGAACCATAAAGTCCATCCCCGGTACCGACTCAACGTGGCCCGAAGGTTATGTGTATCCCTGGGATCAGACACACTGCATGAACTAGCTGATCTTGGGTCACGGCTTAAATTTAATCTTGTGCCGGCGGTGGGTGAGACGAGGGCGTGGCTTGACACGCGCAGTGGCTGTCTGTGCTTTTTTCATGTGGTCACGTCTTACATGAAGTAACTACTGTACGGGGTAAGTGTCCACGCTCTAGACCCGCCCAAGACACCCCGGTGCCGCCACAGTTACATGACATCGGATTGGAATAGATTAGCATCGCAGCCACCATCTGCAAGCAAACAAAGAGACGGAACTCAGACATGCATGCATTGGCTCGGGGTACTTCGGTCTCTGGATATGACACCTGTAGGGTTCAAGGATCTAGGACTATCCCCTGCATGGCATAACTCCCTCGGCAGTACGCCTTACGTCAGGTAGTACAGCCCCTGGGGAATTCCGCGGTTGCCGATACTGCTAATGACCCGATTCGTCTGTCAGTGCAGCGCTAGCAAAGCCTTGTCAGACACTTGGAGAGCCCATCTATACCTAACCGGGCCAGCCTAGAGTGTCTATTCTTCGTACTTTCTTCTCCCAGGGATTACATGGAAAACCTAGCTCATCTTTAGTTAGAAACATTCACGCGTGCAAGGACCAGGCTATATTACAGCGTCACTAATCTGAGAACGGCCCTAATGACGGCCCCTATGCTTGTGCGTATGCATATGATAGTCAACGTGATAATAGACAGCCAGCATAGATACGATCCTCTGAACTATCATCCTATACTACGGTAGGCATACCCAGCAGGCCTAGACCATACAATCTTCATTGCATCACCAGTAGACTCCCCATGGGGTAGCCGAGAAATGCGTCAATTTCCGCCCACCCCACCACGCCGCGCCCATCTGTTCCCCGAATGGCAAACACCGATGCAGCACACCCCTGCCTCAGCCTCGTACCTCCCTCCACACCGCAACGGGAAAAGCAAGGATCTTGTCCAAAGAGGATATAGTGACAGGATGACACTTTGGTAATAAGAGAGGAGGGGTCTTCGTTTTAATTTGATTGGCATGTTTGCTTTTTTCTCGGGTTATTTGATGGGTTTTGCTAAATTTCTCATCCTGCTTCATTCGAGGACTTGTCTGTGTAGCTAGATACCCAAACAAGTCGGAGTCCAGTAGGTTAACACTATAGATCGATCGATCTATCGTTTGTTTGCTCGTCTCCCATAATATCCTTGTCCTCTCCTTGGTAAGATTTCCCAGATACTGATAGATTGGTCGATCCGTTTTTCGCGGATCAAGAAGGTAGTTGTAGAGGAGTAAGTCCTCCCCTACTTTGTATATCCGGCGAAACGGGGGTTCGAGTCCCGACATCAGCACGATTACCTACCACCCAACCTGGCTATCTTCAAGCCACGGCTATCTTTAGGTGGCCATCAACCATTACTTGTATCTCGCCATACGGAGGGCATAATCCACAACGAAGGCTTCATCCACCGTCTTCGGACGCATAACGGACTGACATCTATAGGAAGTAAAATATCTTTAATGGTGTCGTATACATAAATGTTCCAAGCAGCTCGCGCCTCAGACATCTACACCGTCTACCAACCATGTCATCAAAACGACCCCCTCACAAAACATACCTAAAAAGCGGATTCTGCTTATCCGTCAGATCCTGAAACGCCAACTTATCCCTCAAACTCTCATCCACGTCCATAGCATCCCTTCTCCGATTCTCCCTCCTCAGCAAAACATACAACGCCGCCGCCGCCGCAATCGTAATACAATAACAAATAATCAACCCCTGCCACAGCTCCGGATAATGTTGATCGACCGTCTTGCTATTCACCAGCTGCGGCCCGATAATGTTACCCACCGTGTAGGCCACGAACACCGTCGCCGCCATGATGGTCTTCTTTGTGGCGCCGGCGACGTTGCTGGCGCCGAGGGTGATGATCAAGCTGACGACGGGGCCGAAGAAGCCCGTGATTGCGTATCCGGCTACCGGCGTGGCGGGCTGATAGCCCCATGAGGATTTCCAGATCATGATGCAGCCGGCGATGACGGGGAGACAGCAGGCGATGAGCATGGGGATGCGGGTGTTGGGAACACGTGATGAGATGTACCCGCAGAGGGGGATGAAGATGACACAGATGGCGCCGACGGGGAACTGGAAAAGGATAGAGTCGAGAGTGTCGAAGCCGAATGTGGACACGATGAGGGGGCCGAAGCCCGAGATGGCGCCGTTGATGGTATAGCTATGATTGTTATTGTTAGGACGGGTTAGGGAGGGATGAGGGGGGAAGACGTACGCGGCGGCCATCATTATCGCTACAAGGTACATCTTCACGTCCAAGAAAGCTTCCTTAATTTGGTCCCATTTGATCTGCTGGCAGCGGACTCCGGTTTGGCCCTTTCGGAGTCGTTCGACGGCAACTACGCGCTCTTCTGGGGTCAGGAACCAGGCGGAAACGGGCGAGTTGGGCATCATGCAGCACCAGAGTCCGAAGAGGAAGGTCAAGGCTCCGGCGAAGATGTAGATGTATTGCCATCGCGTCAACGAGCCTGAGTTAATTTGTCCGAATGCGTAGTTCAGCGCTCCCCCGATGATGGTGAACCATCCGGTGCCGGAGAACCACCACGCCTGGCGCATGGCTTGCTCTTGCTGGGTATAGTATCCGCTGACGATGGTCATGAAACCAGTTGGAACGACACTTTCAACGAATCCTGGTCCTCGTTAGATTTGTCACGTCTAATTTGGGCTTGGGTCATACCGAGGAAAAACCGCTGGACAAACAGGCCCTGCCAGGTTTTCACGCCTGCAGTAGCGGCACAAGTGATCGCCCACAGCATAACGATCGGTCCGAAAACATATCGGATTTGAAACCGCTGTAGAATGAACGTCATCGGATAGAGACCCGCCAGCATACCGAAGTAAAAGATCGAGGTTGCCCAGCTGAGACGCGACGTATCTTTTGACGGTGGCGAGGTGGAATTATCCACGACCATCAAGGCCAGATCGGTCGTCATGCCAAATAGGGAGGCACTTCCCAAAATGGCCTAGCAAGTTAGACAAGTTGATGTGATCTGAACAAACGCAGCTAACCTTATCCCAGTATACAAACCCATACCCTGGCTGGCGGTTAGCAGTTGCAGTTACCATGGTCGAGTAGAATTGGCAAAAGCTTACCGATCAGCATCGCCGGCATAAAAAACAAATCGATCTTGCGCAGCACACGTTTTTCTACAGCCGGATCAATTTCCACTGCCTCGTCGCTCACCACCTCCAGCGCCGCGTCCTTCTCGGCTGCGATGCCATCGGACGGACGTTCGGCTGTTGCGCTCGGCACCTGGATCATTGTGTAAGAGTTTTCTAGGAGTCTCGGACAACAACAATCGCCATCATAGATGAAACCAAAGTCCGGGAAAGATACACAAGGCAGATTTCTAAGATGTTGTCACCAGTCATCGACAAAAAGTTCTCATGTAGAAATCCTTGAAGCGCCGGTGAGCGTTAGTTTCTTTGTTCGGCGGAGAAACTTGCCGCTTGGAATTTTGGCGGGGCCCCATTCCTACTCTTCCCGACATCGGACACGGCAATCAAGATATTTTCTTCGAGAAAGTTATTTTCAAAATGGCAGATATGAGAGAATGAAGCTCATGGACAAGTAAAGAAATATCAGTGCATGGCAGACTTTGGTGCCCGAATTTTACTTGGCCACTTTTAGAACCTCAGATGAGCATCAAAATATATAATTTACCGCAATGCTGTTAGGCTCTGTTCGCACTGTCAATCATGTGTGAACAAAATACGCAAAGTATTGAAAGTCATTGGAACGACATACGGAGGGAAAAGAAGAAGAAATTGGAATAAGACTATTGTCGGTTGACTTGGTCATTGCCCTAAGCAGATATCCTATCGATTCAACTGAATATAGGTATATGCTCGGTGGGT